TGGGATGATGTGCGGACAGTTATTTTCACTTGTTGTATTACTTAAACATGGAAGTGGATATACTGTGACCTAGTGGCGAGTCACTGCACTGGGAACACAATCGCCATGCGTTATGGGAAATGTAGTTTATAGCCAATGTGTGATTTGAAGTGGAATAGACTTATTTTAAGACACTTGAATCTCTCACGGGCCACATAAAATTATGTGTCGGGCCACATCTGGCCCGTGGGCCTTGTTTTTGATACATGTGATGTAAGGTCTTTACTAACGGCAACAAAACATTTTAAAATTTATTATTTGCATCGAGCCATATTCAAGACATTAAACTACACCACACTAAACTGAGGAGTAACTCAAAAAATCAAGGCCTTTGACCTGTAAATCATGCAAATGTCTAATTTCTGTCTCTTCTGAAGTGAAAGAACGCACCTGTATTTCTTATTAGCTGCAGCAATTTTCAGACTTTATTTAGCAGTTTTGGTGTCAAAGTCAGAAGTTTTTCATGGTCAACCAACTCTTCACACCTCAGCTCAGACCCTCAGGCCATTAAACCTGAGATTATTAGTAACTTCTCACACCTAATTCAAAACTCAGAGTGGTTTCAAATAGCTGCATCTTGAATGTAGAACCAGCCTTTCGTTGTTTTTAAGTTGAACTAATGAATTATCATTTCTCATTTATTACTTGACGATAACTTCAATGTGGTTGGAAAACTTACTTTTATAACAAACTTTTTTCGTGAAAACAAACAGATAAATAAATAAATAAGCTTACTTTCAGAGCTTCTCATTCTGTCTCCAAGGGAGAGTCCAGCCATCCTGCAGAGAAATATTATTTTGGTCGCTTGTACCCACGATCTCTTTCTTTCGGTCACTACCCAAAGCTTGTGACGTGAGGGTAGGAACGTGGATCGACCGGTAAATCAGGAGCTTTGCCTTCTGGCTCAGCTCTCTCTTCACCACGACAGACCGGTACAACGCCCGCATCACTGCAGACGCAGAACCAACCTGCCTATCAATCTTGTGTTCCAGCTTTCTCTCACTCGTGAACAAGACACAAGATACTTAAACTCCTCCACTTGGGGCAGGACCTCATCCCTGACCCAGAGGAAGCATTTCACCCTTTTCCAACTTAAGACCATGGTCTTGGATTTAGAGGATTTTCATCCCCCTGCTTCACACTAGGCTGCAAAACCGCTCCAGCAATAGCCTGAGATCACATTCTGATCTATTGACAACTAGCTAAAATCAAAACTGTCAATAGAAAAACCTTTTAGAATACAAAAAAGGACTGGTTTGTTCTTTATTTATATTTGATTAACTGTGTAATAAGATGATGGAAAAGTTCATGACTGCTGTATTATGGGTCAAAAAGAGCACAAACTGCTATCTACATGTTGTCCAAGAGGCAAATGTGGCAGATATTTTGTTGAGGATGTTGTGAATGTGTCTCTACAGGTATAAGGCAATACATTTGTGGACATTATTTTATTTCATAGTACTCCTGGAGCAATTTGTTTTATTTATCAGCATAAATACCACATGCAGCAGCAAAATGTGGCACTGCCGGTGCATCCAGGGGCCAAATGAATCTGTATTTTGTATAAATAAGCAAAAATAACACCATCAGAAAATTTCATTTCATTTCATTTATTTATTAGATCCCCATTAGTTGCTGCTTCGTACAGCAACTATTCTTCCTAGGGTCCGACACCACAATACAGCAACCAATATTTACATTAAGATTCACTCAAACATTCTCATGCCACAAAAACAAAAAAGCACACACACACACACACACACACACACACACACACACACACACACACACACACACACACACACCACACACACACACACACACACACACACACACACACACACACACACACACACACACACACACACACACACACACACAAACATCTGCTCAAACTACACAATAGTTACGAACCATGGCAAAAGCTGCATCAGCCATTTTGGACATTTCCTTCACATGTTCAATCACAATTCCCATAACTAAAACATGAATCTAAGGCTCTTCTTAAGATAATAACACTTTTACTGCTGTGTCGACAAAAATATATTTAACTTCATTTTGTAAGTAATTAAATTATCCTCCAATACTAGAAAGTTAGGTAGCGTGTTCCAAGCCTCCATTGCTCAGTTACTCACAGTTTTTTGCTTTAAAGTTGTTCGACACCTAGGTAACACAAACCTATAGAGTGACGTTTGCCTAGTGGAATGATGATGTATATCTGAGAAGAATAGAAATTTTCTGTAAAATAACTCTGGTACTTTAGTCATCACTACTCTTTTAACAAAAGACAAAAGTGAATACTTCATTCTATTTTCCACATACAACCATGATAGACGAGAATTCATTACACTTATACTAGTGCTATATGAACACTGCAAAGCCAGACGAGCCGCTTTATTCTGAGCTACCTGTAATCTGGCCAAGTTACCCATCGATGTACTCGACCAGACTACAGAACCATAATCCAGATATGCCAACACTAAAGCTTGGACTACTTGTCTTAGCAGTTGATTAGACATATACTTCCTACAGTATCTAACTACAGCAATCCCTCTTCCCATTCTCATCAATACCTTGTCAACATGATTATTCCATGACATTTGGTTATCTACTATTACCCCCAATAAATTAACATCCGTGACTTGCTCTATTTTTGTGTCACCTACCATCAGCACTAACCTTGGATTTTCTTTTAAGGAGTATTTAGATCCTAAAATAATACACATTGTTTTTTTCTTATTCAAAACTAATTTATTTCTTGTCATCCATGTGTCTATTACTGCTAATTCCTTATTTAGAATCCTGTTTAAATCCCTATCTGTATCTGCAGAGGCATGGATTGTGGAGTCATCTGCATACATTGTAATAGTAGCTTGATGTAAACTAAGAGCTAAGTCATTGATAAAGATTGAAAACAACAATGGTCCCAGAGCGCTCCCTTGTGGCACCCCACAGCTCACCACTACTTGTTCAGAATAACTTCCATTGAAATATACTATAGTTTTCCTATCTGTTAGAAAGC